TGTCATCTGTGAAAAGAGCTAAATATCTAATCAGATTACTTAGAAATCTGGAAACGGAAAGAGACACCTAGATATACATTGAAATATATAGATATTCATAGAGACCCACAGAGATGCATAGAGACCCATAGAGATACATAGAGGGCCATAGACATACACAGAGACCCATAGATGTATATATCTAAACACAGACAGGCTCACAGAGACTCGTAGAAATACATAGCGACTCCCAGAGACCCATGGAAACCCGTAGATGTACAGGCTTATAGAGATGTAACTTACTGAACTGCCTCTTCTGGATGTCTGCGAACAAAAAGATTCACAGCTCATCGGATTCATCCAGTCTAAATAAAAATTCTGAAAATTAAGATTCTGATATCTGGATGAGACCAACTGAGTATTCTTACAAATTAGACTATCCTGGGAACTGAGTTTTAAAAGAGTTCCAGAAAACGCTTCTCTTTGGTATTGTGTGAGAGTGTATGACGTGCGTGAACGTTTACAATGTTGCTGTGTGACTTTACTCTGTGTGTATGTGTGAGTTTCAGAGGGGGGAGCATATATACAACGGTCAGTGGGCTGTGCTATGAACCCGGCAATCTTAGTTCAATTCCCGCTTACGACCACCAACATCAGTGACGGTTATCTGAACCGGTCTTGACCCTCCCCTAGGCTGACTCAGCCTCAAATGAGTAGCTTGTGCGACGTGAAAACATCGCTACTGGGGAGGCAATGTCGGTCAGGCGTAGTGCTGGCCACCCAGCCCCTCGTGTACCGTGCAGGCCTTTATGGCTGCTACTCACTGACTGACTTTGTCTTTGTCTGTGTCTATAGGTTTGACGTCTGCTCACGTGTCTACGTCCCAGGAAACCAGGTCATGTCGCTGTGCCGTGCTCTCTTTAACATAACACGCGCACTCTGCCACCCGCAAAGTGCCAACTCGGATCTTCTGGACACGTTGCTGCACATTGAGGACCTGGTGGGCCAGGAAAACACAACGCAGGTGGCTATGGTCTCTGTGATGAGTCTATGGGTCTCTGTATGTGCCTCTATGGGTCTCTGTTTGTGCTTCAATGGGTCTCTGTATGTGAGTCTATGGGTATCTGTGTGTGGGAGTCTGTGGTTCACTGTGTGAGTCTGTCGGTCTCTGAGTGGTGAGTCTATGGATCTCTGTGTGATAAGTCTATGCGTATCTGTGTGGTGAGTCTATGGGTTTATGTACGAGTTTGTGGATCTCTGTGTGATAAGGCTATGCGAATCTGTGTGGTGGGTCTATGGTTTTATTATGAGTTTGTGGATTTCTGTGTGATAAGTCTATGCGTATCTGTGTGGTGGGTCTATGGGTTTATGTATGAGTTTGTGGATCTCTGTGTGATAAGTCTATGTGTATCTGTGTGGTGGGTCTATGGGTTTAAGTATGTGTTTGTGGATCTCTGTGTGATAAGTCTATGTGTATCTGTGTGGTGGGTCTATGGGTTTATGTATGAGTTTGTGGATCTCTGTGTGATAAGTCTATGTGTATCTGTGTTTGTGGATCTCTGTGTGATAAGTCTATGTGTATCTGTGTGGTGGGTCTATGGGTTTATGTATGAGTTTGTGGATCTCTGTGTGATAAGTCTATGTGTATCTGTGTGGTGGGTCTATGGGTTTATGTATGAGTTTGTGGATCTCTGTGTGATAAGTCTATGTGTATCTGTGTGGTGGGTCTATGGGTTTATGTATGAGTTTGTGGATCTGTGTGATAAGTCTATGTGTATCTGTGTGATGGGTCTATGGGTTTATGTATGAGTTTGTGGATCTCCGTGTGATAAGTCTATGTGTATCTGTGTGGTGGGTCTATGGGTTTATGTATGAGTTTGTGGATCTCTGTGTGATAAGTCTATGTGTATCTGTGTGGTGGGTCTATGGGTTTATGTATGAGTTTGTGGATCTCTGTGTGATACGTCTATGTGTATCTGTGTGGTGGGTCTATGGGTTTATGTATGAGTTTGTGGATCTATGGGAGAGAGTGGTGTTCATTCAGTTTGTTGCGCCAGCCGAGCCAGGATTAATAAAATAAAACTTCGCACACTTTTCACCCATGCAAACGGAGAATAGCACAGACTAATTGTGTTACTAATCTAACATGCAAATGAACACAATAACATATTTCAGAATAACAATTAAGGGATAAACAACATTATATGTAGGCTCTTTAAAAGAACGATTTTTTTTTAGTTCTTAAAATGCCATTCATTGATTGGGAGGGAGCGGTGTCCCAGCTAAGGTTGTGGTGGGTTCGCCATCCAAACTTTGCGTCAAAGTGGATTTTCAAAAATACCTCTCCGTATGTGAAGCACCCACTCACAAACCCACTCATCCACTCACCAACACAAGACAAAGGTCTACCATATAGCCTTAACTGACTGTTTAGGCAAGTGCTATTAACCAGCACCTATGAAGGCTAGCACAGCACACAGGGTGTGGGTGGCCAGCAACACGCCCAACCGCCTTTGTCTCGCAAGTGGCAATGTTTACACACCGCGCCTGGTACTCATTTGAGGCCGAGTCGACCTAGGTGAGGCCTAGGACCGGTTCAGATAATTGTATCTGATTGGTGTCCCTGAACAGGAATCCAATCAGGGTCACTGGATTCGTAGTGCAGCACGCTAACCACTACACTACCGCTCCCTACACACCGACTCACTCATCCACTAAACTGATTAATTCCCCCCATCAGCCATCCACTCACTCTCCCACCCTCCCACCGACTCACCCACCCAACTCACCAACCCACTCATTGCAGGCATGTATGTTGAACTTCTTTCACACAATGTGTATACAATCATGCTAATCGAAGGTATGGGGAAAGGATAACAATCTAACACACAAAAAGCATTTCTGAGGAAATTCGTTTGTAATCTAGATTATTTAAAAGTGTGACAGCTCCAGTCGCTTCCTAATGTCGTAAGGAAGAGCGTTCAAGACGGCCGCAGAAGCGCATCCGAACATGCGAGATGCAGTGACCGTCTTTTGTTTGACGGCGAGCCAAAAGCCGCTGCGAGGATGATCGAAGGTGGCGTGATGATTTATGCTCCTTAACGATATTTGGCAGCTATTGTGGTTCTTTTGTGGCGAGCACTTTATGTATAATGACTGGCACCTTATTATGCAATAATTCGGCAACTCGAAGCCAACACAGGTCAGCGAGCCCTGTACAGACGTGCCCAGATCTTGTAGTACCCGTCATGACAGATGTCAAAGAATTGTGTATACGCTGCGGCTAGGTAAGCACATCGGACAGGAGATCATAAAGGACATCTGACTCATCAGCCGTGTCTGCAACCGCCACTGATGTTCATCTTCAGTGGGGGCGTAAGCCAACATCACAACCATCGCTCCCCTCCTGTTGATGGGGAGGCTCGCCCACAAAAGCCTGGGACTCACGGATTCTACACATCGCCTCTATGCTCCTACGCCCCTTCATTAATTTTTTTTAAAAGTGCCACTTCCTGTTGTTTGGCAGTTTCTTGCCCTGAGTGAAGAATTGTTTTGACTGGAGCCAAAACCATTCCACCAAACCTCCTGTATATCACGTAAGTCCAAGCGGTACTAGTCCAGCTCTAGACAGAGGAAAGGAAGTCTCTCCTTTGCAGTGAGTGTACAGATATTACCTCTGGCCGACCTCAGCCTTTTCCAAACCCCGAGGGGATCGGTACAGTCTGGCTCCGTCAAGTGTGGTTTTGAAAGACGGCGTCATGCCTTTCCTCCCTGGGGACTCCAGCACAAGTTTAAGTGGATGTTTCCATCATGGCTACTGGTATGAATTAGTGCTAAAATGGGGGAATTTCCGACTCCTGGTACACACTGATCTTGGTACACAAATACATACAGACATATGCATGTCCTACTCACACTCAATTCAGCATCACCTTCGCCTAAATGCACTCACTCACCGCAACTCACTCAGGTCTGCCTCACCGTATTTACCCTCTCACTGCACTCTCACATATATTGACTGTACTTTAGACCGAACCAAGCCACTACACTCTATACCACACACACACCAAGTTACACCAAATATGTATCAAACACTACGGTAAACTATTCCACCCACTCACCAAACCAGTCACTCATCTACCAATCCACCCAATCGTACACCAACCCACACACCCACTAAATTACTCACTCACGAACTAATTAACTCACCCACTCACTGACTTACCCACCCACTCACTCAATCGCTCTCCCAAATCCGTATTTAACCATTCACGCACACAGCCACCATATCACTCATTGAAAAATCACTACATCACTCACTCACCAACCAATTACGTGACTCACCCACTCAATCACTCACATACTCACCCACTTGCATACTTACTCAGAAACTCACCCACTCATTAATTCACTCACCTACTCATTCACCCACACACACTCACTCACCCACTGAATCATCAACTCACCTAGTAACTCACCCACTCACACACATTCACTCATCCACACAATCACTCATCCACACAATCACTCATCCACACAATCATTCATCCACCCAATCACTCAACCATCCACTCACTCAGCCAGCCACCCACCTAATGAAAAAAAGAATCCCCGTATAGCCGTAACAGACTGATAGTGCTGTTAGTGTGCACATATGAATATTGATCTGGCACACGACGGAGTGGGTGGCCAGCACCATGCCCGGCCGCCTTTGTCTCCCTAGTGGCAATGCTTACACACTGCACCAGGTACTTATCTAAGGCTCAGTCGATATAGGGGAGGCCCAGGACTGATTTAGATAATCATCTCTGGTGTTGGCCGTGACCAGGAATTGAACTCAGTTTGCCGGGTTGGAAACACAGTGTGATAACTGCTACACTACCGCTCACCTCACCCACTCACGTGCTCACCCACCCACTCGCTCACCAACTAATCAACTCACTCACTCACGCATCCACCCACTTACCCACAACTCCTCTCACCCTCCCACCCACCCACTCTCTCACCCACCGTCTCACCCACCCACTCTCTCACCCACCCACTCAACCCTGTCTGCTCACTACCCCCACCCCATTCGAGGTCTGCTCGGCTCTGGAGCGGCTGGACTCGATGGGCGTCATCCCGCAGGGCGAAGCTTGGTTCGTTCCTCTGAGGGCGGTGCTCACGCACAGAGCCATCTGCTCCAAGTTCTGCGCCTTTGGGCAGGCAAGGCCTCTCTGCGTCTCTCTACACCTGGCCTACAACTTCATCGCACAGGAGGGCTGGCCCGGTAAGGTTCTGATGGCCTGAGCCACACACCCACACACACACCTATTCATTCACCGACTAACTCACCCACACACTCACCCACCCACTCATCTACTCACACGGTCGCTCATCCAGTCACTCACCCACCCACTCACCCATTCACTCACCTACCCACTCTCTCACTCACCCCCTCACTCACCCACTCACCCACTCCTTCCACTCACTCACTCACGAGGTCCTCATCCAGTCACTCACTCACCCATTCACTCACTCACCCATTCACTCACTCACCCATTCACTCACTCATCCAGTCACTCACTCACCCACTCACTCACCCACCCACTCACTAACTCACCCACCCACTCACTAACTCACCCACCCACTCACTAACTCACCCACGCACTCACTAACGCACTCACCCAGCCACTCAAACACTCACCCACCCACCCACTTACTCACCCACCCACCCACCCACTTACTCACCTACTTAGCCACCCACCCACTTACCCAGCCACCCACTCACACAGTCACTCATCCAGTCACTTACCCACCCACTCACTAACTCACCTACCCACTAACTCACCCACCCACTCACTAACTCATTCACTCAATCACCCACTCATCCACTCACCCACTCAATGACGTACTCACACTCGCCCAGCCACTCACCCACCCACTCACACAGTCAATCATCCAGTCACTTACCCACCCACTCACCCAACAACTCACCCAACAACTCACTCACCCACTCAACCACTGAATCACTCACTCACTCACTCATACAATAACTCACCCAACCAGTCACCCACTCACTCGCTCACCAAGTTACCCAACCAGTGATCCACTCATCCACTCACCCACTCACTCACCCACACACTCAATCAACCACTCACTCACACACTCATCCAGTAACTCATCCACTCATTCATCCACCCACTCAATCATTCCCTCACCCACTTAACTTACGCACCCAGTCACCCATTCCCCCACCCAGTCAACCAGTCACCCACTCATTCACCCAATCACCCAAACACTCACTCACCTAATCACCTAGTTACCCACTCAGTCACCCATTCACATACCTATTAAGACACTCACCCACTCACACAGTCACTCATCTAGTCACTTACCGACTCGGTCACTCACCGATTCAGTCACTCACCCACCCATTCACCCACCCACCCATTCACTCACCCAGTCTCTCACCCACCCAGTCTCTCACCAACCCAGTCTCTCACCCACCCAGTCTCTCACCCACCCAGTCTCTCACCCACTCACCCACCCACTCACCCACCCACCCACTCACCCACCCACTCACTCACTCACCCACCCACCCACCCACTCACTCACTCACCCACCCACCCACCCACTCACTCACTCACTCACCCACCCACCCACTCACCCACCCACACCTCCACACACCCACCCACTCACCCACACATGCACTCACCCACACACGCACTCACCCACACACGCACTCACCCACACACCCATTCACCCACACACCCACTCACACACCCACTCACTCACACACCCACTCACTCACAAACCCACTCACTCGCACACCCACTCACTCACCCCCTCAATCACACAGTCACGCATCCAGTCACTCACCTACCCACTCACTCACCCACCCACTTACTCACTAACTCACCCACCCACTCACTAACTCTCTCACTCACCGACTCACCCACTCACCCACTCAATAATCCACTCACTAACTCTCTCACTCACCGACTCACACACTCAATCACCCACTCAATCACTCACTCAAACACAAAAACAACCGCCATTCGCCACTAAGTGGCAGTGACAATACCACGACGCTTGTGCTAGGATATGTGCACGTTGATGCCACCTGAAGTATCGAACGCCCACTGACAGGAGGTCACGGGGCAGACCCATGTGCCACGGGTCGACTGACTGAGATGACAGGCTGATGCACCACCTGTGCCCCCTACTGTGCCAACTTCCTGTGCTTTAGACACCCGGCGCTCCGCTCATTGTTGTGAGCGTCGCTCCTCCACGCTCCGTTGTTGTTGGAGGGCGACTGCCTCCAACTGCCAAGTAGCGTCCTTCATGAGCCTCCTCCATAGAAGCCGATCTTGACACCACTGGTACCAGTCATTGGCAAGTCCTATCAACTCCACATCCTCCTGTACCACATCACTCCATCTTTTCTCTTGTCTGTGCCGTGCCCGTTTAGCCCCCTCTATCCAGCCGAACAAAAGCTGTTTAGGCATGCGGTCGTTGGGCATGTGGGCTACATGACCCAGCCAATGCAACCTTGCCCACTGGATGAGCTCACCAATGGGACTTTTTCCAGATATTTCAAGGATTTGTAAGCTCCTCACACAATCCAACCTGGTAAAACTCAGGATGGATCGTAGGCAGTTCAGCCTAAATGTTTCTAACCGGCGAAGATGTTCCATTTGGGGGGGTCCACGTTTCGGAAGCAGAGAGAATGTAGGGAATGACTGTGGCCGAGAAGACCTGAAGCTTCGTGTGGAGCGACAGACCAGGTTGCTTGCACACAGCGTTACGCAGCCGATGAAAAAATAATACTGCTCGACTGATTCGGAGTGAGACTTCTGCTGTTAAACCGGAGCCGGTCATGAACACACTGCCAAGGTATGGGAAACTCTCCACTCTCGCCACAACTGCCCTATTACCAATTGGGAGTTGTGTGGGTGGAGTGTCCGATGGTGCAAAATACCCAGGCAGGTGCTTAATTTTGGTGGGGCTAATGGTAAGGCCCCACCTCTTGGTGGCAAGCTCCAGGTTCAGCAGCAGCGCCTCCAACTCCTCCTCACTCACTCACCCACTCATCCACTAACCCACTCACTCTCTCACTCTCTCATCCACTCACTCAATTAGTCACTCATCCAGTTACTCATCCACCCACTCACCCACCCAGTCACTCACTCACTCACCCACTCACTCACCCTTTAACTCACCTACGCACTCACTCACCCACTGACACAATCACTCATTCAGTCACTCACCCACCCAGTTACTTACCCAGTTACTCACCCAGTTACTCACCCAGTCAACCACTCACTCACCCACTCACTCATTCAACCACTCACTCAATAACACAGTCACTCATACAGCCACTCACCCACCCACTCCTCCAACTCCTCCTCATCCACTAACCCACTCACCCAATCACTCTCTCATCCAATCACGCAATTGCAGTTACTCATCCAGTTACTCACCCACCCACTCACCCACCCAGTTACTCACCTACTCACTCACTCACCCACTAACTCCCCTACCCACTCACTCACCCACTGACACAATCACTCATCCAGTCACTCACCCACCCAGTCACTCACTCACCCACTCACTCACCCACTTTGAACAATGCAAATTTAACCCCTATGAAGCTTGTGAAAGATCCAAAGCAGAAGATCCCTGGTTTTGATCTTCCACGAAGTTCATGGTACACCCTAAATCGCATCCGCACAAACCATGGCAGACGCAAATACCTGATACACAAATGGTAAATTATAAAAACCCCACTCCAGTGTGCGACTGTGGTCATCCAGAGCAGACCATACAACACAACGACACAATGCCCAATCCACAAAATACGAAGGAGACATCACAGCGACGATGATGCACTCCGCTGCTCCTGACGCGGTCGTCTGGCTTGACCAACTGAATTGTGAAATTGTAGTTGTTGCTCTGCATCTACATCAGCCGTACAAAAGAGGAAGTAAGTTACATCACTATGAGCCTGTATATATTTTCATGGGTCTCCATGGATCTCTCTGAGTCTTTATGTATCTCATGTGTCTTTACAAGTCTCTTGGTGTTTCTATGTATTTCTAGGTGGATATATGTATCTTTACATCTACATCAGCCGTACAAAAGAGGAAGTAAGTTACATCACTATGAGCCTGTATATATTTTCATGGGTCTCCATGGATCTCTCTGAGTCTTTATGTATCTCATGTGTCTTTACAAGTCTCTTGGTGTTTCTATGTATTTCTAGGTGGATATATGTATCTTTACATCTACATCAGCCGTACAAAAGAGGAAGTAAGTTACATCACTATGAGCCTGTATATATTTTCATGGGTCTCCATGGATCTCTCTGAGTCTTTATGTATCTCACGTGTCTTTACAAGTCTCTTAGTGTTTCTATGTATTTCTAGGTGGATATATGTAGCTTTCTGGGTCTGTATGTATATTTATGGGTCACTATGTATCTCTATTTTCGTGTGTCGCTGTGCAATTCTATGGCTATATATGTCTCTATCAGTGTCTACATATCTCAGAATCAGAATCTGCATTTGAATTGGATGAGGAGGAATCCGATGAGCTATAAAGCTCCATTGTTTTTCTATTTACATATTTCCAGTTGGGGATGGGTGGTGAGCAAGTTACAACAACAATGCAAAACATCTATAGGAGTGCAAAATAGAGGAAAGGTAGCACGTAACTACAAAGGAATAATTATAAATCAAGTATATCAGATACAAATTGCACAAGTACATTAATTTATGCCGTTTTATCAACACTAACTGCAAGTTTGGGGAAATGCATGAAAACAATCCCGGGTCTGTCGATTGGGCCATAGATTGCTGCAGTCAACTTATGTCTGCTGGGGGGGGGGGGGGGGGGGGTGAACTCCTTCCCCCTGTTCTATAGAGGTGAGAGTAAATAAAATGGAGCTTGTATTTTTTTCCCCCTGTTTTGCAGAGTGAGAGATGGGGGGTTTGCATGATTTCATCTGAACCAGCCCTGAGCCTTCCCAAGGTCAACTCAGCCTCAAAAATGATACCTAGTGCAATGTATATATTGCCACTGGGGAGACAAAGGTGGCTGGGCATAGTGCTGGCCACCCACCCCCTCGTGTGCCTTCATAGATGCTACTCACGAGCCGTACTTGCCCCAATAATTTGTTAATGCTGTGTGGGGGATCTTTGTTTTTGTCTTTTTGTATTTGCTAATACCGTGAAAGGCAATGGTTTGCTGTACTTGTACGTTCTAATATAAACAGAAACACCTCGA